TATATTAGCTGCGACATGAATCAAGATGCTATGAGTGAAAAAACTTGATTGACAGATGATCGTTGATATATGATTGTCCAAACTTAGGTGTTCAGGCTGACGTATAACTAACTGGGCTGCAGAAGATAACGGAAAAAAAATTGATGGAAGACAGCATTTTTTTTTTTATAGAAATGTTCTAAATTTTGTGACAATATTGTCTGAAAGGGTACATTTACGACTTTAAGCTCTGATTTGGACTGGATTTAATTAGATTTTAACTGGTTTTAAGCCATCTGTAAATTGTCCTTAGGTGGTTGTGTGATCTGTATTGCCCTGCGTCGGACTGGTGAACTGTCCAGTGTGTAACCCCGCCTCTCGCCATTACAGTGCCCGAGTTATAGGCTGGTCTCGCCGCCACCGTGACGAATCATTTATCATGATTGTTTGGTTTTAGACTTGGCTCTGGGATGCTCTTAAGTGATTCTTTTGGATCAGATCTTGGTGGATTCTTCTGCAGTATTTACCTGCTGGTCATGCTGTGACCAGCTTTAAACCAAGACAGAACCAGACTGGTCAGATAACAGCAACTGGGCAGAAAGATGGATCAGTCTATGTGCTGGAGCATTGACTCACGGTACTCCTGCATGTCGATCTCGTGCACGGCGTGGATGTCGCTCAGGTAGGCGACCCGGGCCTGGACCTTGGTGCGGCCCTCCCTCGTGTTTTTGTCGATCCTCTCGATCATCTGCTGCTGCTTGTCGATCCAGTAAAGGTGGTTCCCGAACACCGTCAGGCCCACCGGCTGCAGGATGTTCGAGTCAGCAATCACGATCCGATTGGCTCCTGCAGCATTTACCAAAATAAAAGCACCAGGGAGTGTAAAAAAAAAAAAAAAGGGCGAGAACTTCAGGAACAAAGGCAACAAAACGGGAGAGGAGCTGAGAGGTGAGGCAGGAGGGGGAGGCAGGAGGGACAGGGGGGGGACACAATTAACATTTAACTGGAGCTCCGAATCAAACACAGCCAGATTCCAAAGGGGTCGTTCCCAGAATCTGAACCGTCTCCTAGGTTACCAAAGGAGATGACATCCTTTCTGCTGGGCTGAACTCTATTTAGATAGCTCTAGACTCACATATCTTCCAGAAGGCATTCAGAGACTAGATCTAGAATCCTTCGACCTAGAAGTGTTTAGTTCTAGATTCTGTTCTGAATTCAGGACACTTTAAAGTCGCAGTAAAACAGCAGATAAGTCCGAATGTTCTGGATTTCAACAGATCCAGAACCAGGCAGTGATAAATTCAGATGGCTAATCCAGAATCTACTGCTTTTTTTAAGCCATAATTTAGAGCAGGTTCCGTCTTTTAATAGAACATCTTGGAGCTGAAAGCTTTTCCTGACACAAACTAGATCAGGCTTTAGATCCGGTCAGGAAGATTCCTGGTTTAAACCGAGCCGCACACCAGAAAGGCTGCGATGGATCGGAGCGTGGGAAAGCAGAAACCCTCCCCTCGTCCTCCTGGCTCATCCTTTTAGGTGAAGGAGGACCTGAAGTAGATGTAGTTCTGAAGAACCTGCTCTAAGATATATTTAATTTGAGGAACATTGCTTTTAAAAATGCTGGTGGTGACTGTCTGGGATTTGCTGGATCCCTGGGAGAACTGCCCCCTTACAGACATTTAGAGAGCATCAGGATTAGATCCTTTTGATTCTGTTTCAATGTGATCAGAACCAGCTGAGGTACTGTGGACGTCCTACAGGAGGCGCCACACATCCTGAAACTGAGACCTCAGATTGTCTGAGAGATCAGACTCACCGGACAGGTCGCTGCTCTCGATGCGCCGCAGGTCCGAGTCCACCCAGAACAGCTTCCCCGCCTGGTTGTCGATGGCCAGAGCGGCGGGTTTACCCAGCCCGCTGAAGAACAGAACCTCCCGCTCCGTCCCGTCCAGAGCCGCCCGCTCGATCTTGGGCGAGCGGTCCTGCAGGTTGGTGAAGTACATGTACCTGTAGAGCGGAGGAGGCAGCGGGCTGTAAACACCTGCATAGAACCGGACCGTGAACCCGGACGCCGGAACTGTCCGAGCACCACATACTGACCCTTTCTCCGGGTTGACCACGATGGCCCGCGGCTTGTCGTGCTCGCCCCGCAGGACCACGCCCACTCTGCTGCCGTCCGTCCGGCTCACGTTGACCACGTTGGTCACCTCGCTGGTCCAGTAGATGAAGCGGCTGTAGATGTCGATGCTCAGGTCGTACAGCTGAAGGCCCGGTCCGTGTCCGAGCCAGGAGCTCGACACCACCGTTACGCTCTGACAGGACCAGACAGAAGACAGTCAGCTGGATCAGAACCAACAAACGGATCGGTTCCTGTCCAATCACTTCTGAAAGCAGCCCAGAACCCAACCGGTCCGACTCAGTCAATCACAAACTGGTTTGTTTGATTACAGAATAAAACAAAATCAAATGTAAAAAGCTCAGGAATCAGAACCGCTCCAGAACCAAACAAAGTAAAACCTTCTAATGTTTCCAGCAGCTCCAGGACTTAAATTGGACCCCTTAAATCTGTGCCGGATCAGCAGCAGGAGTTTATGACCAGTTTGAGCTACTGGCACCTGGTTCTGCTTTGGATGCGGTGGTGAAATGGACCGCATCAGAGTTCTGAGCGGTTCTGAAAGTGGATTTCACAGCTCTGAGGTGATGAGGGAGGATGACGATGATCAGAACCAGCAGTACCGCTGCTTTCTGGGCTCAGGTTTCCTTCTGGGTTTATTTTCAGAGCCGCCGCTGGGAATAATTGATGGAAAACCTGCTTTATTTAGACCTACAGACCACCGGGGAGACGATCCGGACCCGCAGTGTTTACACAATCTGGGTCCGGACCCAAAACTCCATTCAGGGCTGCTTTCTGCCTGGCTGATCTGGAATCAGCTCAACACCTCCTCTCTGATTGTTGGCCGTCAACTCTGCTGTGAATTCTGGGTTAAAACGGAACAGATGGGAAAGTTCTGGAAGTCCATCAGAACCAGCAGGATTCCTGAAACTGAATCAGAGGTGGTACCTGGTTCCCGTCCTCTTGGGACCTCCGGATGTTCTGTTTGGAGTCGATCCAGTACAGCTGCTTGTCCAGCGGGTCGTAGTCGATGGCGCGGACGTTCTTCAGGTTGTGGATGGGCAGGACGATGTCCGGGCTCTGCTGCTCGTCGATCACCATCCGGTTGATGGCCGCCTTCTGGCTGAAGAGCAGGAACGATGTGGGAGCTGCAGGGAACAAAGACAGGTGGTCAGAGACGAGGCCGGATCCGACCAGCAGCAGAAACCTCTGGCTCCGAGTGCCTCACCGCTGCACGTCTTGTTGTCGTAGTTCAGGGAGAAATGGGCGGGGCATCCGCAGACGAAGCTGCTGGGCACGGCGAGGCAGAGGTGGGAGCAGTGTCCGTTGGTGGAGGCGCAGGCGTTCCAGCCGGCCTGTCTGGAGGAGTGGAAGACCAGGATGTCCATCACGTAGTCCAGGTGGCCCTGGATCAGGGTCCGGTTCTGACCGCTCGACTTGTTGGCCCGCTCGATGCTGCGGTGGCTCCAGTCCGTCCAGTAGATGTAGTCCTGGTACTGGGTGAGTCCGAAGGGGTGGGGGAGGTCATCGGCGATCACCTCGCGTTCCTGACCTGGAAGAACAGAAAACTGGAAAATCAGGAAGGAGACGAGACGGAAGCGACGGCAGTTTGGGTCGGTCAGAGAGCAGAACGAGGCAAAACAGAACCAGCCTATAAAAACAGTCCAGAACCGACCAGAATCTGCCTCAAACAGAACCAGAGTCAGCCACACCGGAAAAAATCTAAATCTAGATAGGTCCTCTTTCTCTTAAAATAAGTGCTTTTGTTCTTGGATTGAGGAGACAGACATTTTACCAATGGAAGAAGACAATTTAGATGTAAAATAAGAAAACACAATTGCATATTTCAAGTGCATTTTATCTAATTATCTTATTTTAGGAGTAAACAAACTCATTCCATTGGCAAACTATCTCATTTACCTACTGAAATTAAGGGTAAATACACTTAATTCAAGACATTTTAACTTATTTCTAGATCGTTTTTCCAGTGCAGGAACTGGACCAGGACCAGCCAAACCACCACCACCGTCAAACTATGTCAGAAACAGTCCAGAAAGTATAAAAAAATAAAAATAAAAATACATTTTTTTAGAACCTCTCAAAATAGCTTAAGTCTTTTTTAAAAACCAGTTGAGAAGTCGCTACATTTCTAAATCTAAACAATCTATATGATCATCCAGTCTTAACACCAGAACTCCCACTGGCCGTCAATTTGACAGGCGACATTTTTCCTAATGAAACGCATGAGTAGTGATGTTGTCATCAACTGAAATGCTTCTAGTGTGTGAATTAAAGCCATTGTGGATATATAAACCTTAAAAATGGTCTAATATATATATATATTTTTTAAAGGCTGCATTATCTGCTATTATTATTATTTGTGGTATAAATGTTTATTAAAAATAAATCAGTAAAATAAGACTGTTTTACTACAAAGGTTGCGAAGTTTGAAATTGAATTTTTATTTAATTGATTGATTACCCTTGAAAATTTCCCACAGAACACCTTTTCACATTTGACACACATTGACAAACATCATAAGAGCGTTTTTTTTGTGCAGCTTTGAAGCAGAGGCAGAGGGGACGGTAACCTGCTGGTTTTACAAGTTTAAGGATAAAATCTCTGCGTGAGACGGTGACGTTCAAACTGCTCCTGAACAAAACCAATGCGTTTATAGCTGCTATGTCCAGGAGATCATAAAATACAGCCACAGGCAACCGCTGCTTTGGAGCTTTTAGAGAATACTTTCTAATCATCTGATCCGACACATCCACGCAGACCTGTGTGTGATTTTTGTAGATTACGGGCTCTGGTTTAGTGTACAAACAGGTGTGGGCAGTGCTAACTAAAACTTGAACAAAAGTTTTACTATTGTCTGATGATGTAATGATACGTCTGCATTTTCCCGTGGATGATCACCTGTCTCTCCCTCTCAGCCTGAATCGCTAACATCAATATTTTGAAGCTTTTCTAAGCCTTTTTCGCGGTTAGATTTCTTCTGAAAGCCATTTTTCCGTATTAGAGTTCTAGTTAGATTGTTGGTTGCTAGGCAACGGTATGAATGTCAATCATCCATCGGAAGAATTTGCAATGCAACTATGGCCGTTTCTCAATATGCGTTCTTGAGCGTTCTCGTGTACTCGCGACACGCATCAAATCCCCGGATGTTGTTCTCACCCCGCCCTCTTTATCGAGCATGCATCAGAGCAGACTTGTGCGTTCTTCAGACTGACCGCTTCCCCAGAATGCCCCGCGGCCGCAGCTTGATTCCAGACAG